AAAGTGATGCTAAATCGGTGCAAGACCAACTTTTTTTTATGTACTATCTACACAGTCCCCTAAATATACAAACTTCAAACTTCATTCTCTCCAAAACTCCGGGGTGCATAACTACATCACGTAGCCACAGCTGAGCCCTGGGGCATGACACTGACAAACAGCAAGCAAACCATCTGTGCCTATCGGCCCCTCCCACCACCACCAACCATATCTCACACACACACACCAAATCATCTAAAATACATGGAGAACACACACACACACGCACACAGGACACAACCACAGTTACAGGCACTTTACAGCCGCCAGCCGCCCCATCTGTGCGGCATCTACTCTCAACAACCAACAAACGAGACGAAAGAAAAAAGAGCGATGCCACAGCGGACGCGCGCTGCGTACGGCTGTAAAGTAGCCAAACTGTGTTGTGTCCTAAGGCAAGGACCTACCCTCCACATTAGAATGAGTCTGGGTGTGTGTGAATCGGTTATAGTACGGTGGTGGGAGAGGCGGCCGAGGCCACAGACACCGATTGCCCTTGCTTACGTCAGATGTGCCCCAGGCAAGCTGTGCTATCCTAGTGTCTATCACCACAGAGTTTGGAGAGAATGAAGTTTGAAGTTTGTATATTTAGGGGACAGGGTGTAGTTACATAAAAAAAGTTGTCTGCACCAGATTTAGCATCACCTTATTTTCCTTCCGTAGTCTCACATTTAGGTAAAGTACTGTCGTGTGAATCGTCCAAAAAGTGCTATAAAAACTCATTATTAAACTGTTTTTATTAGTGCTAAAGACGATAACTTCTGTCCTGAATGATCCTCTCTCTTTTTTAATCCATGCCAGATCTGTTTTTGCTCTGAGACATTAAGTATAGTCTTAAAGCTTCTCAACTTAACTACTACTTTCCTTTTTTAAATCCCAGAAATCTAAAAATACTGCAGAATGACACAGCCCCAAAAGGCCTTCCGTGGGTAATGACTGTGGGACTGTTTGGGGCTAATATTAGCCGCTGCATCTTCTCACAAAAGCTGTAATTTGGACAAAGACTACAAAGAGATGCTATTCAGGGTTTGGAGTAGGACTCTTTAAGATCCAGACCAAGAATAGAACCCACATGTTTTAGGGACTGAACAAACTGTCCCGAAGCCAAGAAGAATAATGAATGTGGCTGAAGCAGGAGAAACTCTGGGACTTAGAATAAAGTCATAAAGTCTTGTTACTGATCCAACTTCCAATGAGAAAATACCACCAGTAAACCAAAAGTGAGATGTAGAAAGTCAACAGCTGCACTAGAACCAGGAAGTACGACCGCATTAGTCCTGACTAGAACCAGGAAGTACGACCGCATTAGTCCAGTTCTCAGGTCTCTGCACTGGCTTCCTGTGGCTCAGAGAATAGACTTTAAAACAGCTCTGCTTTTCAGCAGCTCTGATGTTTATTAATCGAACTGAATTTCTCCATCTGTGTGAGATAATAAAGGATTGATTGATTGATTGTTACAAGTCTCTCCATGGCCTCGCACCAAAATATATTAGTGACATGTTAGTCCCATATGAACCAGCCCGGACTCTGAGGAGCACAGGGACTGGCCTCCTGGCTGGGACTCTGAGGAGCACAGGGACTGGACTCCTGCTGGGACTCTGAGGAGCACAGGGACTGGCCTCCTGCTGGGACTCTGAGGAGCACAGGGACTGGACTCCTGCTGGGACTCTGAGGAGCACAGGGACTGGACTCCTGCTGGGACTCTGAGGAGCACAGGGACTGGGACTCCTGCTGGACTCTGAGGAGCACAGGGACTGGACTCCTGCTGGGACTCTGAGGAGCACAGGGACTGGACTCCTGCTGGGACTCTGAGGAGCACAGGGACTGGACTCCTGTTAGTGCCCAGAGTCAGAACTAAACATGGGGAGGCTGCTTTTCAGATTCATGCTGCTAAAAATCTGGAACAGTCTTCCTGAAGATGTGAGACAGGCCTCCTCTCTGACAATGTTTAAAACCAGGTTAAAGACAGATCTGTTTAGCTGTGCTACAACTGAGGGATTTTATATTTTTATCTTTCTTTTTAATGTTCTGTGAATATTTATGATTTTAATGTTTTCTTATTTAGTTCAGCACTTTGAGTTGCCTTGTGTATGAATTGTTTGGTAACTTTCAGAGACTTTTTGCAAACAAGAGCAACCACATCAGAGCAGTGCACTGTATGAATGTGAAATGTAAATGTGCCCTTTATTTGTCCTCTTGTAGAGAAATTCTTCCTCTGCATTTGACCCTGATGCCACTGGGCGTCCGTCAGGAGCAGTGGTTGCCATAGTAACAGCCTCCGGGAACCATCTCCACATGTTGATGCTCTGGGTCAGGACCAGAGTCGGAGGATTTTATTTTGTGAATGAAACTGGAGCTCCCCGAGGAAACCTACGCAGGCACGGGGAGAACATGCAAACTCCGTCTTTATCAAAATCTAAACCTTGTACCTGTGAGTATGATGCAGACCTCTGTACCTGTGAGTATGATGCAGACCTCTGTACCTGTGAGTATGATGCAGACCTCTGTACCTGTGAGTATGATGCAGACCACTGTACCTGTGAGTATGATGCAGACCTCTGTACCTGTGAGTATGATGCAGACCTCTGTACCTGTGAGTATGATGCAGACCTCTGTACCTGTGAGTATGATGCAAACCTCTGTACTGTGAGTATGATGCAGACCTCTGTACCTGTGAGTATGATGCACACCTGTACCTGGAGTATGATGCAACCTCTGTACCTGTGAGTCTGATGCAGACCTTTGTACCTGTGAGTCTGATGCAACCTTTGTACCTGTGAGTATGATGCAGACCTCTGTACCTGTGAGTATGATGCAGACCTCTGTACCTGTGAGTATGATGCAGACCTTTGTACCTGTGAGTATGATGCAGACCTCTGTACCTGTGAGTTATGATGCAGACCTTTGTACCTGTGAGTATGATGCAGACCTCTGTACCTGTGAGTATGATGCAGACCTCTGTACTGTGAGTCTGATGCAGACCTTTGTACCTGTGAGTCTGATGCAGACCTTTGTACCTGTGAGTATGATGCAGACCTCTGTACCTGTGAGTATGATGCAGACCTCTGTACCTGTGACTGATGCAGACCTTTGTACCTGTGAGTCTGATGCAGACCTTGACCTGTGAGTATAGCAGACCTCTGTACCTGTGAGTATGATGCAGACCTCTGTACCTGTGAGTATGATGCAGACCTTTGTACTGGAGTCTGATGCAGACCTTTGTACCTGGAAATGCAGACCTCTGTACCTGTGAGTATGATGCAGACCTCTGCTAACCTGTGAGTATGATGCAGACCTTTGTACCTGTGAGTATGATGCAGAACCTCTTGTACCTGTATAGCAGACCTCGTACCTGATAGATCAGAACCTCTGTACCTTGACTCTGATGCCACCTTGTACCTGTGATCTGACAGCAGAACCTTTGTACCTGTGAGTATGATGCAGACCTCTGTAACCTGTGAGATATGATGCAGACCTCTGTACCTGTGAGTATGATGCAGACCTCTGTACCTGTGATATGAAGCAAACCTCTGTACCTGTGAGTCTGATGCAGACCTTTGTACCTGTGAGTCTGATGCAGAACCTTTGTACCTGTGAGTAATGATGCAGACCTCTGTACCTGTGAGTCTGATGCAGACCTTTGTACCTGTGAGTATGATGCAGACCTCTGTACCTGTGAGTATGATCAGACCTCTGTACCTGTGATATGATGCAGACCTTTGTACCTGTGAGTCTGATGCAGACCTTTGTACCTGTGAGTCTGATGCAGACCTCTGTACCTATGAGTATGATGCAGACCTTTGTACCTGTGAGTCTGATGCAGACCTCTGTACCTGTGAGTATGATGCAGACCTCTGTACCTGTGAGTATGATGCAAACCTCTGTACCTGTGAGTATGATGCAGACCTTTGTACCATGTGAGTATGATGCAGACCTTTGTAACCTGTGAGTATGATGCAGACCTTTGTACCTGTGAGTCTGATGCAGACCTTTGTACCTGTGAGTATGATGCAGACCTCTGTACCTGTGAGTATGATCAGACCTCTGTACCTAGATGAGCGACCACGTATTAGTATGCAGAGACCTTTGTACCATGTAGTATGATGCAAGACCTATTGTACCTGTAGTATGATGCGAGACCTTTGTACCTGTGAGTATGATGCAGACCTTGTACTGTATTATGATGCTAGACCTTTGTACCTGTAGTCTGATGCAGACCTCTGTAACCTGTGAGTATGATGCAGACCTCTTGTTACCTGTGAGTATGATGCAGACCTCTGTACCTGTGAGTATGATGCAGACCTCTGTACCTGTGAGTATGATGCAGACCTCTGTACCTGTGAGTATATGCGAGACCTTCTGTACCTGTGAGTCATGGATGGCAAGACCATTTGTAACCTTGATGAGTATGATGCAGACCTCTGTACCTGTGAGTATGATGCATGACCTTGTACCTGTGAGGATGATGCAGACCTTTGTAACCGGTGATATATGAATGCAGACCTCTGTACCTGTGAGTATGATGCAGAACCTTTTGTACCTGTGAGTATGATGCAACCTTTGTACTGTGAGTAGATGACTTGACCT